GGAACTGTGAGTCCATTAAACCTCTTTTTCCTCATAAATTAGCCAGTCTTGGGTATGTCTTTATCAGCAACGTGAAAACGGACTAATACAACAAGGAATTGGGAGTCAGGAGAGACTGGGATTTACTACAGCTCTCCCACCTCTACCTGTGTAAGCTTGGATACCTCTGATGCTCACCTGTAAAGTGTACAAGATTTGCCCTATACACCTCAGAAAGAAGGTAGCATGTACAAGGTTTTCATCAATTATAAAGTACTGCACAAATGCAAATATCATCTTTATTACTTCACAGAGTGGGTTTTAATTAAATGACAAAATTCCCTAAAGAGCAGCATAGGTTAGATTAGCATTTCCCATTTCAGCACATATATAAACATATTCATGCTGGTCCCTGGTGTAGCCTGAGGCCTTGTCCATGTGGCTCTTAGGAGTTTCACCCAAGACAATCTCTATAATGTTTAATTATTTTCACTCATGCCCAAGGAAAACTATCTTACTCTCTAATGTGTAGACATAACAGCACCCACCCCCAAGGTTGATTTCCACTGAGACACAACAGCTTCTTCCCCATGGGAATGTTACTCGTTTCATTACATTTTATGTTGGGTGTTTCTATGCACTGAATCCAGGCTTGAAAGACTCTCAAAAGGACGTGGGCTTCCTGGCTTGCCTCAAGCTTTCCCATTGCAATGAAATCAGACTGCTGCTCTCTCCTGGGCTTGCACCCAGGCTGCTGGGACCACCTGCACAGTGTGCTCATGGGAGAGGTGGAAGACGCTGCCACCATCTTGGGTGGCAGCTCAGGGCAGCAGTCAAAGCAATCAACGGCCTGCTGTGGGCAGTGTTCAAATCCTGGCTTTGATACTATCAGTTTAATGTTAGGCCAGTTCTAGAACCCCCTTGCCTGTAAAATATGAGTGATATTGTAGTGCCTACCTCATAAGCTTGTGATTAGGATTCAATGAGATAATACATGTTGAAAAGCATTTCAGTGTTTATTCTGAGTTTGTGTCTTTAGCTACTGACTTAACTTCCTCATGCTTTTGCCTTTCTCTTTCTCACACTAAATGTTCTAAACAAACAATAATCAAATAACAAATAAACAAATGCCTCCTGATAATTGGGAAGGTTATGATTTTTTTTTTTTTTTTTTTTTTTTTTTTTTTTTTTTTTTTCCATTTTTATGACTTACTATATCGTCTTCTTTTTGGGGAATTTTTTTACAGCTCTGAGTTTGGTTTATATGTTCCTCCTGGGTGCTCATTTTCATAGTATTCTTGGCACTGGATAGCAACTGCTTATGTTCTTTTCTATTTCTTCCATTAGACTATAAATAATGTTAGGTGAAAAAAGTACTTCACACTGTGCCTTACTGAATGAACAACACTCAATAAATGTCAATTGTTGTTATTACTCCCTGGGATTACCATTCTCATTCATACCGTTTCAGAGGCCTTTACCCTGTGCTAAATGTAAAATATGGGGAGTATCCTTACAGACAAAAGAAACATGTGAGCATAGAGACAATTGTCAAAGATGGCCTTGCTCTTCTTTTAGCAGAAAACAGGATGAGTCATCTTTTCTCATTGATTAGTTCCTGGACCCAAATGGAAGATTCCATTAAAGCACTGTAGTTTCTAGGTATTTAATTCAGTTTTGTGTTGGGGGGTGGATATTCCACAGATGTTCATGTGACAAACAGCTTAAGTCTTAGGACTTCTGTCCTTCAGGAAATTATGTGCAAAGGATGAAATAAAGGTTTCAGCCTCTGACGGCTGAAACTTGGGGATACCAAGTTTTCAATGTTGCCAATACCTTCCCAGAGGAGGAATCTGTAAATACCTACGGCACAAATGGATGAATGAATCCTCAAGTCACATCTCTGCCTCTGTCTAAAGCAGTTAGAGAAAGTGAAGCTGGGCAGGGCCCTTGCTTTCAGTCAGCTGAAGGAAAAAAAGCTGTTTAAGTCGAGCACAGTGGCTCATGCCCTTAATCTCCGTGCTTTGGAAGGCTGAGGTGGGAGGATCACTTGAGGCCAGGAGTTCAAGACCAGCCTGGGCAACATGGTGAAGCTCCATCTCTACAAAAAAATTTAAAAATTAACCAGGCATTGTGGCACATGCCTGTAATCCCAGCTACTGGTGAGGCCAAGGCAGGAGGATGCTTTCAGGATGCAGCAAGCCATGATGGCAGCACCCCAGCCTGGGTGACAGAAACTCTGTCTTAAAAAAAAAAAGCCATTGATACTTATTCAACTTCAGAGATGTTGCTTCTGATCCCCCACAGGACAAGACAGCAGTATAGACAGAAACTAGGGGCTTTACTCAACACCATCCAATGGCAGCTGCCTGCCAGGTGCTTTACCTCCATCCTAACTAAGCCTTACAACCAGCCCAGGAGGTAGAACTCATGAGCCCATTCTACAGATGAATGGGCTGAGACCCAGACTAAAGACTGCCCAAGGCCCTGCAGGCTGGAATCCCAGTCCATCTGCTCTGCCTCTGAGAGAGAAGCCCAAGTAGGTAAAGATGTGAGGACCTATTCTCTTCTTCCCTCATGTCTCCAGAGAGACTTCAGGTGTGCTAGGTTCTAGGGGCAGGCTTGTGAGCTCCTCAGAGTCCTCTTAGAACTCCAAGAAGGTGGTGAGAGAGTCAGGATTTGCAGAATTCAGAGAGTGGGCACTAGGCCAAAGCACAGCATAAAACCATTTACCTATGTGGCCATAGTCCCCCCACCCAACTCCCCCCCCCCCC